GGGGGGGAGGGGGGGGGATGCAGGTCAGAAGGGGTGGGCCACCAAATTGTGAAGAGGCAAAACGATCGCACCACTGGAGGAACTCGCGCGAGTAGTCGAAGCGGAAATAGGCATCGCCATCCTCAACGTAGTTGCCAGACAGGAGCTCGTAGAGCTCCTTGGACTGCTCATCATTGGACATGTCAACATCGCTCCACTGGAAGCCGGCAGGCAGCTTGTAGGGCTCCGGGCGAATCTCCTCGGGAGTCTTGTCCGCCTCGATCGGACCGAAGGCGGACGGGTCATCTGTGTGCAAATACACGCGGCGGCAGTACCAATTGGGATGACGCGGGAAGAGGTGGGAGCATGGTCAAAGCAAAGAGGGGAAGCGGGTATGTCAGCGACAGAAAGGGGGAAGGGGGGGGAGGGGGGGGCGCATCAGGAAGATGAATGGTGGAGGCCCGCCGAGGGGGTCGATGAAGGAGGGAAGGCAGGCGGCACGCACCGAAGTCCTGGACGGGCTGGGTCTTCCAGAACTTGTGGTCGTCCTTCTTCTCCGGCTTGGCCGGGATGGCCGCCGGCTGCAGGACACTCAGCAAGTCCTTGATGTCGGCCAGCTGCTGGGTGGCGACATTCTCGACCGTCGCACGAGCGGCCTCCTGCATCTGAGGCGGCAGGTCATTGATGGAAATCGGGACGCCCTCCTGCTCGGCGATGGAGGTCTGGCCAATCTGGTTGGCAAGTTGGTTCACCTGCAGGCAGGGAGGGGGATATATGTATAGAGAAGGGAGGGACGGAGGGAGAGACAGACAGACAGGCAGACAGACAGGGAGAAGGGGGAGGGAAGGAGGAAGGAAGATAAGGAAACGACAGGTCAGGGGACGGAAAGGTGGAGCAACAAAGAGGGGGAGGGGAGGTAGAAAGGGTCATACGTCGGACATCGTTAGGAAGAAAAGAACAGGGTGATGGTCTCTGGGAGGGGAGGTATCTGCCGGAACATCTGGGCCACCAGTCGGCAGGATGCCAGCAATTCAAGGCTCCCAGCGGGAATGAAAACAACCCGCCGACCGGCAAGGAAAGTAGGCACGTCCATGCTCGGCTGGGGAAAAGAGAGGATTAATAGTCCGGGAGATATTCGCCAACCCGGAAACCCCCACCCGTCGGGACGGTCTCGAAGCAAAAGCTGGACGGGAGCCCCCTGGCGGAATAATACACCCCGATCGTGGCAGACATCCTGGGCCCTCTCGCCCAGGTGGTGTGCCCCCCCCCCCCCCCTGTCCTTCCCTGCCTGGCGACAAATGCCCGCAGCAATCCGGGCGGGTGCTGTCTGGAGAAGAACCGGGAAGACTGGGCGTTTTCGGGCCTCGTCTCTTCGTGGGGCTCCTGCCTCCTCCTCCTTCGCCCCCTTGCCGGACCGGGCCTTAATGACCTTGTGCGAGGAGCGGGCCCAACTTGCCGCCAGGCGCTAGCCGGCGATGGTCACACCACGGGCCCAAGCGGAAGGAGCGATCTTGGATGTGAAGAAGGCGCCAAGTGCCAACGCCCTCACGCTGCTGTCCATCTGATCCGATCATACAGCCCCCCGGTGCTGATCGAGAATAATGCTATTTCCACCGTCAGATTCACCCTTCTCGCGACTCCTCGACGCTCAACCATCAGCCTGCGGTTTCCAACAGCGCCAACAGCCGCCGTGTGCGAGGACCACCTCTCCGTGTCTTCGGGCCTGTCCCGGAAATGACTCGCAGGAGGGCCGGGGTCTGCAGCCCCGGGAGCGCGCCCCCCCCCCCCCCCCCCCCCACCCCCCCCCCCCCCCCCCCCCAGAGACCCCTCCTGCCCATGCACATTCAGGGATGTCCCGGCCGAGGCAGGGGAGAGGCGTAAGGCGAGTCGCGCGCGCGCGCGCGCGCCTCACCCTGGAAGGAGCCATGCCTCGGACCCGAGGACACTGGAAACTGCAACTGGGGAGCGGAACCGCCTGTGAAGGACTGGGGCGAGGCCTCGGGACAAGGGCGTACGCACACCCACCTGGGCACGCGATTTACCGGGGCCCCGGACCGGTTTCTAACCAGGCAAGAGGAAGCGTTTCCGCCGCCTGGCTGTCCGGCCGAGCCACACCCACTGCTGTTGCTCTTGTCGATCCCTCCTTTATCGCTCAACAGTGTAAGCCCCCTCCCCCACCTCCTCCCCTCCCTTCTCTTTGCCTCCGCCTCCCCTTTCCCCCTCCCTCGCTTCCCCTTGCCCCTGCTCCTCCCTCCTCCCCCGCTAGACACAGAACTGGCGCCTTTCGCCAGCCCGTGCTCTCCGCCGCCTTCAGTCATCAGAGACACCATGGTCAACTACGTGCAGGATCTTCCCCCTCCCGGCGGCTACTCTGCCCCCAAGCAGTTCTCTGCTCACCTCCCCCGCCGCGGCCTGTCCAGTGTCACCATGCTTGGCATTTCGGCGGTCGTCATGGCTTTCGGTTTCTATGGTGTCCATGTCCAGCGTACCCGTGCTCGGTAAGTAGTCTCCACTCCCTGCCCTGTCACCGGCCTTGTCCTGGGTTTTGGCCATGCCCATTCTGACTCCCTCGCCTCCCGCTGACCCCTCCCCGTGCTCGTTTGCTTTGTCCATCTGATGACCTAGCATCACCGCTGCTGAGGACCGCAACGCCAAGTACTGCATCACTCCCTTCCTGCTTGCCGAGGACCGCCTGGCGTATGTTCTCCCCCCTCAATCTCTCCCTCGCTGTCATGTGCCTTTCCACAGCACACACGCACACGCGCGCGTACCCGTGCCCTGTCTTCTGTCTCTCTCCCTCTCTCTCCCATGTCACCCCTTTTCTCACGCACACACCATGCTCCTTCCCACACAGCACCCACTCCAAGCAGACCCTCGTGCGCAACTACACCGACAGCCTGATTGCCAACGATGCCAACAAGCCCGCCGGCAAGACCCCGTACTTCGACTCGGAGGAGCTCGCCAAGTCCTTCAGCTCGTAAGGACAGCCAGCCCGACGCCCTCTCCTCGCCTCTGTCGGCCGCTCTCCCTTGCGCTGAGCCGGCCACAGGAAAACCCCTTCAAATTGACAAGGTCCGTGGCTGGCACACACCCAGGCCCTCGCCCCTCGCGCCTCCCCTGCGCCAAGCAAGCACTCACCCTGTCTTTCCTCTACTGTGTTCCTCCCCCGCCAACCGGAACGACAGTGTGCTCCTCTCTGCCTGACTCCGGTCCTTTCCTCTGCCCCTTCGTTGCCACGGAGGAGGAATGGAACATGCGCAGATGTACCTATGTGTGTGTGTGTGTGTGTGCGCGCGCGCGCGCACGCGCGCACACGACGATATTGTGTTTGTGATGTTTTAGAGCAGCACACTTTCGTATGCGTCTCGGCACATGGCGGTGCGCCCTGTGCAAGGCGGCCAGGCCATGACACATGCGCACATAGACGCGCACGCTACACCACTCCCTGGGGGGGACGTGCGGGGCGAAGGGAGGACCAACATCAATGCGGCGCACGTGCATGATGGTATACATCTGCATGTGTCCCTTTGCCGCCCCTCCCCCCCCCCCCTCTCTGTCTCTCTCCCCTCCACACTCCCCCACCTCTGTGTCCTTCTCCTTTCAAATCTACTCCTTCAATACAAACACCTCCAAATGTGTTGTCCCCCTGTGTCTCCACTTCTCCCCGGTGTTCTCTTGCCCACCTGCCGCTCTCCGAAAAGGGTGCTGATGTCGAGAGGAATGCAGGAGATGTGTGTCCCGGGAGAGGCGGCCACCGCTCGCATGCGCACAGCCAATGCAGGGACACGCCCCCCGGTGTATGGGCCGCGACAGGAGGGCAGGGGAGGGGGCCGGATGCGCGGCTTCCCGGCGGCTGGGAGAGCATAACCTCCATCATGTGACATTCGAATCACCATACACATGCCGGTGCTCCCTCGAGACTGGCGCCGGCCCCTTCGAAGGCGGGCCGCCTGATTGTCGCTCCCGGCGCCGGCAGGCCGTCGAAAGGGAGAGGACCAAACGTCCGGACACTAGATCCCGAGCGGACGATGAGCGGAGGGAAGGCCGAGATCTCGAGCTAACGTCTCCCCCCTTCCCCGTGCCGCTCCTGGCTGGTCATCTGCATGCTGCTCGGCGAAACTACCACCCGACACACCTCCCACCGGAGGAATGGCCTGACTGACGATGCATGCCGACCGGGGCCGAGAGCGAGGACGATCCCTCCTGGCAGGACCCGGGCAGACGTCGTCCCAGGGGGGGCGGGGGAGCCGGGGGGGGATGAGGCGCGAGAAGCTCAACCGTCCGGCGGGCGTGGTTCTGTGGCTCGCCTCCGGTCCGATCACCCGTATGGCCTCGAGTCAGGAAACTAATTCCAAGGAAGTAGTGCACAATGGAAAAACAAAAACAAACCCAGGCCGCCCCTTCAACTGGGGAAGCCAGTGCACCTTCCCTTCGGCCCTCATCTCCGCTCCATATCTTTTCCCTCCTCTCCCTCCCTCTCTGTCTCTCTCCTGCATCCTCTGCCACCCTTCTTCCTCTCCCTTCCTCACCCCCTACCTCGCACCTCACGCGTCATGCTATCGTACGAGAATCCCCTCCCCCCCCCCTCCCCTGGCTCTTTTGCATGCGCCCTGCTCCCCTGTCTAACACTGTTCCCTGCTCAGACTGTCGAGGGCTGCCTCGACGGGCATTCGCCTTGCGCGGCCACATGCCCAATGGCAGGTGCCATACATGCGCCAGGGGGCCCTGACGGCTCTCCGTGCTGCCAGCATGTCCTCCACCACCGGCAATACCACAGCGTCGGATGCTTCCCTCCATGCCGACTCGCCGCCCCTGCGCCGGACGCCCAATCCCTTTACCATCGGCTCGCTTGCCGCAGGGTCCATTCAGCTTGATAACACCACTGACACCCCTTGGAAGGTGGTCGAGTCGGCATCCTTCTCGCCGGCGGCTCCTGCCCCCGCTGCTACCGCCGCCACTTCTTCGATGGCCTCTCCTTCGGCCACCATCGCACCTATGCCCACGGCTGCCCATCCTCTGCCCGCAGGCGGCTCTCCCGCGCGGGTCAAGACCGAACTTCCGACCAGCCCCTGGACCACCCTCTACGGCGCGGTCCCTGCCTCGGCCATTGGCGTGGTTCTTTCGACGGATCCGCGCCCGCGCCAGAAGTCGGCCCTGCGCAAGGCCCTCGAGGTCAGTGAAACCGTGTCGGCCATCCCGGCCGGCACGGCGACTGCTGGTACTGGTGCTGGGGCGGGTGCTTCCGGCGCGGCGACTGCTCTTGGTGCTGCTGCTGCCTCGGCCTCCATTCCTTCGAAGAATCCCGCCACGGGCGCCGGGGCTGTTGCTGCCCCGGCCGTCAAGAAGCCACTCAAGGAGAAGATCAAGGAGGTGTGCCGGCACTACTGGCTGGGTTCTCGGCAGCTGGCCACCGAGGCCAACATCTCTTGGCGCCTGTTGAAGCGCGTTCTCCGGGGCCATGTTCTCACGCGCCGTGAGCGCCGACAAGTGTGTCCTATCACTCTCCCCCGGCTCCGCCATCCTATCTTCCTCCCTCCCTCCCTCTCCCTCTCTCTCTCTCTCTCTCTCTCCCCTGGCTGTGGGCTTCCACTGACCGCTCCCTTTGTCTCTTTCGCAAGCTCATCCGCACGACCTCAGACATGTTCCGTCTGGTGCCCTTCATCGTCATCCTGGTGGTCCCCTTCATGGAAATTGCCCTGCCCCTCTTGCTGAAGCTCTTCCCGAATATGCTCCCCTCTACCTTCGAGGACAGTCATCAAGCCGAAGAACGCAAGCACAAGCTGCTGAAGATGCGTCTCGAGGTGGCCTCCTTCCTGCAGGAGACTGTCGAGAATATGGCCGTTTCCTCGAGTTCCAACAATGATGTGGCCAAGCTGGCGGCCGAGTTTTCCACCTTCTTTAGCCGCATTCGCAGCACCGGCGAGCAGCCGAGCACTAGCGACATCTTGCGCTTCGCTCGGCTGTTCGAGGATCAGATTACCCTTGATAACCTTCCCCGTCCGCAACTGGTGGCCATGTGCCGCTTCATGGGCGTCAGCTGTGCGTGACTGCCAAGTGATTTCCTTTCCTCTTTTTTTTTTCACATCGGGGAGATAGAGCGAGAGAGAGAGAGAGGTCAACTTTATCTGACCCACCACCCCAAGCTCTCGGAACAACCCCACTGCTGCGCAATCGCCTGCGTCAGAAAATCCGCAAGTTGAAGGAGGATGACCTGGTATGTAGCCACCATTTGCGTGCCTACGGCTTTGCCTGGGCGTCCCCGCCCCACGTTCTGGGTCTGTTGGCTTTCCTCCTCTAATTCCTTTGCCAGATGATCGCCACCGAGGGCATTCACACCTTGAACAATATCGAGCTTCAAGCGGTTTGCATTCAGCGCGGCATCCGGACCACTGGTCAGACGACTGCCCGCCTACGTTCGGAACTCTCCCAGTGGCTTGGTACGTCTTTGGTCTCCTTTCCCTTCACTGCGCCTGAGCCACCCATCTCCCTACCTCGAACACGTGTATCCGCACGCACGCACATACACACACTCACCCTTCTTTCCCTCTCTCTCTCACACACACACACACACACGAAAGACCTTCATCTCAACCAGCAGGTCCCGCTTACACTGCTGATCCTCTCGCGGATCTTCTCCATGAGCGACCCGCAGTCCGGACAGAAGGAGACCGCTGAGCAGATGCCCGAGGCCCTGCGTGCCACCCTTTCCTCGATGCCGGATTCCATCGTGCGCGAAGTCCAAGTGGACATGGACACAGCTGCTGGTCGGACTGTGAGTGCCGAGAAGCTGGCCGTGCTCCAGACCCAGGAGTACCTCATTTCCAAGGAGCATGCTGAGATGCAGGCCGATCGCGAGGAGGATGCCCGCATCGATGCCGAGGCGAAGGTGTCCGCCGGCCCGGTGGCCGATGAGGCTCTTTTGATGAATCCGGCCGCCGCGATTGCCATTCCGGCTCCCGCGCCGCCTGCCTCGGCCTCCAAGGTGTCGGATGTGGCGGCCGCTGTGAAGGCTGCTGTGATCGCGCCGGCCGCTGCCACCGCTGTGGCCCTTGGTGGGGGCGCTGGAGTGGTGCCCCTGACCACGGCCCTGCAGCCTACCCGGCCGCCGATGACGGCCCAGCAGCGCCACTACTCGGCCAACATGATCATCCTGCTGGGTGATATCCTCTCGCGAGCGGTGGCCCAGTCGCCAGTCGGCCCGGAGAAGGCGCACCTGGCCGAGCTGATTGAGGATCGCCAGGACTTCCTCGAGGCGGCAGACGTCCTCCGGAAGAAGGCCGATCAGCTGCCGGTCAAGGAGTCCCCCACGAGTCGCATGCTCAGCCGCCGGGTGGACAGTCTCATCATGAAGATCCGGTCGGAGATCATGCTGGCCGAGGCGGAGACCCTGTCCGAGCACGATCCGGAGCGTGCCTCCTCCGAGGGGATTAACTTGCCGCGAGAGCACTCGCCGCAGCTGGCCTTCGCCCTGGCCAACATTGAGCTTTTGCACCCGCCCTTCCGCCTGTTCAGCCTGGAGGAAGGCAGCGAGATTTCTTCGGTCGACTTGCGTAACCTCCTGTCTCTGATTCATCGCCGCAGCCAGGCGGCCGGCGTGTCGTCCAGCCCGGAGGGGATCGACCGCTCCGGTCTGGATCCGGCTTCGGAGAAGGACCTGAACCTGGTCCTGCAGCTGCTGCTGCGCTTCGACACCAACGGTGATGGATTCATCCCGGTGGCGGAGATTATTGCCTATGCCGACGAGCTGGAAGAGTCCGCCCGTGATGTGCGTGCTCCCCTCATCTGCCCATCCCTTTGCCGGGTGTTTGCCCACTCCCCGATGACTGACGCACCGTGCCTTCTCTTGCTCCCATCCTTTCTTTTTCCTCCTCCCCCCCCCCCCCCACTCCATTTGATGCCCGTGCCCTGGTCTCTCTCGACACACAGGGTGTTTCGGCCGATCTGGTTGTTGAGCCTCCGGTCCCCCGTACCAGTCACTGACAGCGAAATTTGGAGGCCATTTCGCCGGGAGCCTGTCCTCCAGGCCGTTGGCCAGACACACCTCCCCAGGTGAAAGAAGAAAACTCACATCCTTCTTCCTGAGGGTGGGATGCCCCCCGGGTATGGCTACCCCCCCCCCCCCCCCCCCCCCCGATACGTGCCGCAAAATAATAGACCCACTTTACAGTGTGCCCTCGTGGATGCAAGTTGTGCCTGAGCGTGGGACAGGGGCTCTATTCTTGTTGTGCCTGGACAGCATGCCCAAGGACCTTGTCGCCCGGTGGGATGGCACTTGCCTCTCCTACGCAGGGGGGGAGAGAGAGAGAGAGAGAGAGAGAGAGAGAGAGGCGGGGGGGGGGGGGCTGTTGCCGAATCTTCCTCGCGATCCCTCTCACAGAGCATTCAGGCAGAATGTCGATCACCCGCCGGGCAATCATTCCCACGCTCATAGAAGCGCCTGTCTCGTGGTCATGTGAACGTCAGAATGTCATGTGAATGCCTTGTGGCGCAGGTTCCACCCCCTGGCCGATTGCCCACTTTCGCGGATTCCCAGCGCCTGCGGTAAACGGCGACCGCCAAAAGTACCGGCCAAAGGCGCGCGCGTGTGAGAGGAGTGCCGAAAAATGGGGCACCCAATACAAACGCCGGGCCTGACGAAGCCAGGCTGCCGGGTCTTGTCCAGGTGGGAGGGGCTCCAGGATCACCAAAAGGATGCGCCCATGACAAGGGCATCCCCGCACAGGCCACAACGCGGCAAGGGGCCGCTGCCTGTGCCAGGGCGTTCCGGGAGGGGCGGTGGAGGGGGGGGG